CTCTGGCTGGTCGCGACGGTGCTGGTGGTGCCGCTTTTCGGACGGGGCTAGGAAGAGGATCAATCTGCTCCGGAGCTTTCCAGAACGCTCTCAGGGCGTTCCAGAACGCTCTGAGAAGGCCGCGGTGCCCGATACATGCACCAGAGCCGCTGGATCTCAGAGATTCGCGATTTAGCCTCGCCCGAATGTATCCTATGCGCTTCTGTGGCCAAACGTTGGGGCAGAGAAGGGCCAAGCTATTGGACTGTGGGTTCTCCCAGCCGTTGTGGAAACACTTCAGGGAACGCTTGGGGGGAGGAAGAGGGGGAGGATCAGGAGAGGGAGCTCAAGGAGAAGGGCGGTGGGCGGGCGGGCGGGCGGGGGTGCCGGCGTCGTCGTCGGGGCGTGGCCCCGGCGCGGGTGGGGCGGGCCCGCGGCGCGCGTTTCCCCCGGGATTGCCCCCCGGCGGGTGGATCGGGCGCGTTTCGGACAGCCGATGGAAATGACAATTCTTCGGGCCGCGGAAAGTGGATCCTCTCACGCTTCACGGTTGTTACCGGCGCGGGGGGCCGCAAGTCTAGCGACAGTCAAATTTCAATTCTTCAGGGCTGCCAACATCGATCCATGGATGCAGCGGCCCCCGCGGCTGCCCCGCGCCTCCCTGGGGCTTTGCGACTCCGAGATGGAGCTTGGGAGCCTCGCGCCCCCAGTGGCGCCACAGTGTCGCCGCCTTACAGGCTCGAGTTTTTGCGGGAGAGTCGCCGTTGCTCGCCTTGCTTGGCGTTGCTTCGCAATGCATGGAATTGCTTGCTGTGCATTGCTTGAGGAACCCGAGAGAGGAAACTGGGGAGAACTTAGCAAGGGGCCCCAGAAGCTCGAGGAACCCAATGCCCTAACGAATGCCCATGAGGGAGAGGAACAGGGGGCCAGAGAGGAGGTGGTAGAGGGGAAGGGCCAGGGGGCCAGGGAGGAGGTGGGAGAGGGTGGGATGGATCTGGCGCAAGAGTAAGCATTCACATGGGGTACTTCCAGGAGACACCTCCACGACCGGTTCTCGGTTCGGTTCCCGGTTCGGGCATGGTTCGGTTTCACCGCTTCCGGTTCAGTTTGGTTCCGGTTCACGTCGGGTTTCTCGCGGGTTCCAGTTCCTTGGTCGGTCGGTTCGGTTCTGCGGTTCGCGGTTTGGTTCGGGGGTTGTTTGTCATTGTTTGCAGGTGCTCAGGTCGCCAATGGGGGTATCTAACATTGTTATCCCCAGCTGGAACCACGCGTTCACATGCCCAGGCCATCCATAAGGGTATCTAAAATGGTGGTCCAAGCTGGAACCACATATTTTCAAGTGTCCAGGCCACCCAGTTGGATATCTAACATGGTGGTCCCGATCTGGGACCATGGTTTTTACGTGTCCAGGCCGCCTCGGGGGGTATCTAACATGGAGGTCCCGAGCTGGCACCACGTGTTGTTACGTGTTCAGGCCGCCCAGGGTGGAGGGGGGATTCCTGAGATGATTGCATCGTGCCCCTCGCTGGAACAACTGTTTTCAAGTGTCCAGGCCACCCAGAGAAGGTTTCTATGATGGTGGTCTCGAGCTGGAACATGGTATTTTTACTAGCGCGGGCGACCCTAGGGGGGGCACCTAACATGTGGTCGCCTGAGCGACCCAAGCGCGGTGGACTACGAGAGTCAGACAAAATCAATATATCAACGCCAGTTGTGGAATAACCTGATACAGTTTCTTCGGCTGGCGATTTTCAGAAGTCCCATTTGGGTAATTAACATGGTGGTCCCGAGCTGGAACCACGTGTTTTCACTTTTCCATGCCACCCAAGGGGATATCTGATTCTGGTGGCCCCGAGCTGGAATCGCGGTCGCGATCGTCGCCGTCCGCCGTCGTTGCTGTCGTCGGCGTGACGGGCCGCCTTTTCTAGGGGCATTTCTCCTCGGTTTGGACTCGCCTCTATCATTTTGTCTTGCTGCGGGACATATTCCTTTCGAGCAATGCGCCCAGGCAGCTCGAGCACGAAGCCCAACTCAAGTCTGTCAGGATTCGGATGCCCGGGAAGATTCGATCCACGACGCAATTGAGAACATAACTGATCACATTCGCCTGCATCACGGTGGCTGCATGGTGGTGTGCTTATACCCATGGGGAGCGATAAGGCAGGCAGGACAGTCCACGAGGAGATCTTTGGAGATGTGGCTCGCACCCTGCCAAAGAGAGCCGGTAGACTGCCCCAGAGGGCACCAAGGTAGCTCAAGAGAGCTCCAGCAGAATTTCGAGACGTACATGGGTTGCGGGTCAGAGTCCTCACGGATGCTTCTTGGGGTATCTTCGGAGGGCTCTCGGGAGCCTCTGGTGAGCATTTTGAAGCCTCTGGGGAGCCTCTTGAGGGCTTCTGGCGGGCCTCGTGAGACTTCCTGGGGGCCTCTTGGGGCTTCTGGGGGCCTGTTCGGGGTCCTGGGAGCCTCTTTCGGAGCCTCTTGGGGTCTCTTGGGGGGGTTCTTGGGGGCCTCTGAGGGCTTCTTGGGCGCCTCTTGGGGCCGAGAGCTCGACATGTCTGTCCAGGTGTTCTCCTCTGGGCCTCCTCTCGGGGCCATCATGGCGCCGTCTGGGAGGCCTCTTGGGCCGTCTTACAGGGCCATTTTGGGGCCCTCTTGGAGGCTTCTTGTGCCGTTTGGGAGCGATCTTGGGGCCTTTTGGGCCGTCCATGGCGGTCGACAGCTCGAAAAGGCAGTACCGCCAAAATCGCAAGACAACCCAAGCAACATCAATTATGTTTGCGTCTGTGGGGCCTCTCGAGGTCCTCTCGGAACCCTCCTGGGGCGTCTGGGGCGCTTCTTAGGCCGTCTTGGGACCAGCGTGGGCCATCTTGGAACGCTCTTGGCCTGAGGCCGTAGGGCGTGCCACCCTTTCGGCGCCTCATCGGGGCGCTCGGGGGGGGCCCGAGGCCGCGCCCAGGAGTTCCGGCTCTCTGGTCCGACCCTGTTGGGACCTTGCCGGGGTACTTCTTGTCCGCGGACCCCAGGGGCCGCTACGCGCGCGCGAACGACAAACATTCTTGAATTCTTTCCGGAGATCATTGGCACGTCTCTGGCCCGTTTGGCCGGCGATTTATCTTCACCCGAGTTTATTCTCGTCCTGGCTTCGTTTTAACGGGCACGGAAACAATGGGTGCGAAGACCAACAGTATTTCTGTTTTGTTCATTTTGGACAGGATTCGCTGTCGGTGTCGCTGCGGACGACCATTTGAGAAGGTCGTCTGCCCAACAGCGACCGCGCTCGGTTTTGAACAACATCTGTTGTTGGGCATCGTAGCCCATTTTTGCCGTACACATTTCGGGCGTCCAAATTTGGTGACCCAGGCCTGGAGAACGCGTTTGATTCCTGGGCAATACTAATTATCTAAGAAGACAAGAGGGCATCGACCAAATTTTCTAGAGCTTCCCGCAAATTCATTTTATCTGCTGTGGAGCCCTTGCCCTGGCGCGAGGAGCGCGCCAGTGCGGCGCCAGAGGCGCCGCCAGGGGGCCCCAGCGCAGATCCAAGAAATCCGCGTGGAGCTCCGAAAGTTTGGTTCTATATATTCCGTTTCTCGTTCTCTAAATGATAGGGGTTACGTGGGGGAGAAGAGGGGCGGCGGTGACGTCACATTTCGCGCCGGCGCTGTCTGGAAATGTTTAGGGATTACCGAAAAGACAGCTCGGAGGTCAGCACGAATCGTGACGTTTCCTGTGAGGAAGGGGCGGCCAGGGCCAGTAACGGCCATTATTGCGAAAATGAAGAGAGTCTCCAAACCTCTGGCAGAGTTCGACAAAAAATCCAGAGAGCTATTTCGTCGGCGTTTGCAGAATACGGGGGCGGTTTCGTGAGAGGCTTGCCTGGGGAAGGTTGAGAGCTCCCGGTGCTTGAAGCATCGAACACAAATCGAGCCGCCAGGTGTTTGGGACCTTCCCTGGGGGGGGGGGGGCGCCCTGCTAGGACACCCATGGCACGGCCTGTAATGGTGTTCCTGCTCTTTCTGCTCCCGCTTCTCATCCGACCCCCTCTGCCCCCTGTAGTCCGCCAGCTCTTGCTCATTTTGATTGTCTAAGCTCGTCCTGTTCGCCATCCTCTGCTCTCGGCACCTTCTCGGTCTCCTGCTCATCATCATCATCATCATCATCATCATCATCATCATCATCATCATCATCATCATCATCATCATCATCATCATCATCATCATCATCATCCTCCTTTTCCCTGCCCCCGTCCCGTGCTCTCCTCCCCCAGCCTTCGCGGCATCAGGTCTTCATTGGCTCAGCCTGTCGGGATAGACTGGGGCACCCAGTAGCATGTGTCTCTCGCTCGACTGTCGGACGCCCTCTCTGAGGGCATTCCAGCTCGCAACGCACTACTCTGAAGCGGCCGGGATGTCGGGTCGGACGAAAGGGGGGGATAGGGAGAGGGGAGGGTACGAATCGAACTCTGCCTGTATGCAGCTGATTTCGGCCCCGCCGCCTGTCACCTTTCCTGCGTCTCCAGCGCGGGGATGCACCACAGAAATCAGCTACGTCAGTTGTTTTTGCGACCACCCTTCACCAACCCGCCCTTTCGCTCGACCTGGGCCTGGCCACACTGAGGGATAGGTCTCCCTCAATTCCAACGTCTCTGATTTAGTGCGCACAGCAGCTTTACCTGCATTTCAAAGTGTCCGTGTGTGACACGCTCGGTCACACGGGAAGTGCCGACGATCGATGATGTGGGACAATTTTGAAACAGGAGTTGACAAGGATGTATCAACAAGCAGAGAGAGAGAGAGAGAGACAGAGAGAGAGAGAGACCGAAAGGACCGGGAGGGAGTCAGAGAGAGAGAGAGAGACAGAGAAATAGATACGACGATCTGTTTCCAGAAGGAGATACACGCTCAACAATGAATGAATTTGTTTGGTTATGAATTGTATGCTCGCATGGAGGTTGCCGAGGGAATGGAGGAGGAGATGGAGGTGGCGAAGGAGGGATGAAGGAGGAGGAGCTTGGTGAGCTCGCACGTGTAGAATATTGGGCACGGACATGCGCTGCAGCCCTGCGTGCATTTGCACGCAGGGCTTACCATCCGTCCTTGGGATGCAATTCACGGGAGGGTAACTTCAGCATCGGCGTTGGCATATCCGTGGTGAGAAAAGAACACCATGATCCGTCAGCATTCCGCTAAACTCTGGTTTAATGTCGCGCATTCGGGTGTTATCTGGCTCAATATTGGGCCTGATCTGATCTCATTTGGCTCAATGGTTTGTCAATGGTCCTAATGCCCTTGAATCTTGATTGCGAAGACACTCATAAGTTGCCTCCGAACCGTTCATCCACCATGAACCATGGTGCGAGCCACACACGGGGCGGGATGGGGTTCCGAGTCGGGCCGCGCTGCCAGCAGTGAGAGCCGCTGCCCGAGATCTGGCGCAGCTGCGCTCGCGTGTGGCAGCTCCTTGCCGTGTGCCTACTGGCATCAGCGTCTAAGATGCAGGGCGGGCAGATGCCGCGGGGATGCGCGTTCGGTGAAACCCGGCCTCGCCCTCCGACCCCTTTTGCGGGGCTGCTCACGATCCGATCTCAGTCCCCAGAGTCGGGATAAGAAATTGGTCTGGTCGGGGTTAGGGTCGGTCGAGTCCCTCGAGGTCATGCCCGGGAGGCCAGAGCACTGACCTGATTCATTGTGGTCTTGAGGCGGAGTTCCACGGCTGATTCGTCAGGTTCAGCGTTTGCGCTCGAGAGATTCCCTTGATTCGGGGGCCTAGAGGTTGACACCAACACCAAGATCGGCGGTGTTCCTCCACCGAGGGAAGAGGATCCCGATCTCGGTGATGGTGGTAATATTCTGGCTTCCAAAGTTACCGAAATATTACCACCAACACCGAAATCGAGGATCATCTTCCCCCTGTGGAGGCAACCCCCTGTGTTGGTGTTGGTGCCAATTTCCGGGCCTCCCATGAATTGGGGCCCAGCGTTGACAGGACTGTTTTTTTCAGCTCCCTACCAGACGTCGGCGTCGATGCGACGCAGCCTGGCACGGCCCGATGTCCCCTCCTGTCACTGCAGGGGTCAAGGCCCGACCCGCGATCCCGAGCGAGCGGATCCCGCTCCGATGTCGCGCTCGGGTGCGGTCCGATCCGCTGCCGATCGTTTCAGATGTTTCCCGAGCATGTTCTTTGGGTGGAGGGTGAAGAGTGAAATCTGAAGTGCCGTTTCGATTGATTTTCGAGGCTTGAATCAGCAGGAGGTGAATCACAAGGCGGATTGGTTTTCGAGATGCAGAAGCCCATTTGGAATTCACCCTGAGCCCTCCACCCCTGCAACAATGCCCAGGTTTCGCGTTCCGATTCGGCCCGGGCCTGTCCAGTCGGACCTCCGGCGGACGGTCTGCTTCCTCGGCCTCCGGCGGACCGCGGGCCAACGGGGCCAGCAGGAGCGGAGCGGGGGGGGCAAGCTCTGCCCCAGAGGGGAGGGGGGTCGAGGCCTCCGTGGCCGCGGCGATGCTCACGAGCGGGGAGCACTTCTGATGTCCGTGCTGTCCGTGCTCTCGCGGTCTAGATGCCGAGGCGCGAGACCGTGGACTTGCGATCCCACGGGTGCGACCCGCGCGGGGCATCCTCTCGCGAAGCCTCCTCGTAGCGTTATGCTCGAGGAGTCTTCACCGCGAGGCCGCGGGTATGGATGCGTGCCCCGCCCGCAAGTTGCGTGCGGCGAGACTCGAACTCGATGCCTTTTAACCGAGCTGACGAAGGGGTGGGTCGGTGGGATGGTGCCAGCAGGAGAAACGATAATCAATCGGGGGCCCCAAACGGTGTCGTGACCACACCGTGTGGTGAGTCGTTGGGGAGTTGGGGTCGCTGCACGGTTTTGGGACTCGAGTCCTTCTCCGAGGGTGTCTCGGGCGATTGGAGCCTCCAGGGTCCCAAAACCGTGTGGTGACGGACCGTGCGGTGAGGTCTCTTGGGGTTCCGAGGTCACCGCACGGTCTGTCACCGCACGGTTCTGGGATCCCCAAATCAATGACCCGCCGCCATCGCGTTCGCCAGAAGGCCTGGAGTTTGTTCGACAGTAACGCGTAGATGGCTCTCCCAGGGCGGCGTGTCATTGGTATTTTTTTGCTTCCACAGCCAGGGAAGTAGATTTGCTGAACGCTGCTGGTTTCGTCCCGTCGTTGGGCGCTCTCCCAGCTGACGCTGCCGATTCGCTAATCGCCCCCTTACGGACCCCAATGTCCATCCACCCGGACCCTCCCAACTATTGAGCAGGACAACCGACGTGTGTCAACGTTTTTGTTCGTCTTGGGCCTCTGGAGGCCAACTGCCGGTGGGCCTCCAGAGTCCTCAGGAGGCCTCTGGATGTCTTCTGGAGGCCTCCAGGGACCTCGTGAGATTTGGGCTGCCGACGAGTCGAGAAAAGCGGGCGGGATACCTGTCGCAGCCCTCTGCGTCTGGAGGCCGTTGCCGCTCCGAGCCTTGCAACAGGACGACTCTGGCTCCAAGCGAAAGCGCGGGTCGATGCTGCACTCTGTACTCGACTGCTCGCATGGCACCGCAGACAGAGACACAGCACAGCAGACGGGAGGGGAGGCAGGCGAGAGGCGAGGCGAGGCGTACAGTGGAAACCCATGCCGAGAATTGCCCTGCCTGCCTCCAGGGTGCCCTGGGTGTCTTTGGTTTCGATGGTGTTGCCGTGACGTTCCAACACCAAAAATGAATGGACTTCCAGGGGTCTCAGGGTTGGGGTTCCTGTGGAAGGTTTCTTGTGGTCGAGCTCCTACTGTAGAGCCAGAGTGTGGACGATGTGTCGGGCGTTCCCGACGGGCGGCAGAAGACCGATTCGGAAGGGGAACCAGTCCCAGGGAAGGGGTCGACAGCTCCAGGGGCTGGCGGCCCGCGACTCGGAAGCAACGGGTCGTCGGCCGTCTGGGTACGATTCTCTTTGTGTGCGGGCCAGATCTGTATTCATATCCACTGCGTCTTGGAGTTTAGGGTTCCCTTCCCCGGAAACTAGGGGCTCAGTGGATACGTATGGGGAAAGGTCTGGCTCCCAGATGCTAGATTGTTGTCCATGTCCACTGCGCCGTGGCGCCTTGGCGCCCCCATCCCAGAAAGTTCAAGACGCAGCGGATGTGGATATGAATCCTGCCCGATCGAGACCTTCTTCGATACCGTGCTTGTCTCAATGCCGGCCATTCTTCGGCGCCGGGGGCCGTTTCTCTTGGGTGACCCACGGGCCAACCGGAGGCTACCCGAGTCGAGAGTCCAGTCCCGGGGAGGGGGTCTGCACTGCTTTGGGGACCCGCGGGTTGGAGAAGAGGTCGGGGCGTCGGAGGCGTGGGCTCCCCTCCACATGTTCTTCCTTTTTTCCGGGGGCAGCAAAGAGAGAGGTAATGACTTGGGGGGGTGGGACATCATGGCGTGGGCCATGATGTTTCCTCAGATTTCATGGCGTTTCCTCTTATGCGTAAAGGGCTTCGCCCCCATGCCGCCAGCCCCCCTCTCTTAGAATGGGACTTGCCAGAGCTGTGTTGGGATGTCTGGACGCTGGCGTGAAGCAGTGTCGGGACTTCACGCGAGGGCCAATCTGAATTTACCAGGGCTTATGGCTTCGGTGGGGCTAGTATCAGGTAGTTTTAAATGGTTTGTGGCTTCGAGGACGCGAGTATCACGTCATGTAGAAGGGTTTGTGACCTCGGGGACTCATTGCGTAATTTACAAAGTTTGATGGTCCCGAACGCGAATAGTATGTAATTGCGAGGGTGTGTGGCCTCGGGGGCGCAAGTACGGCGTAAGTTACAAAAGGGTTTATGGCCTTGGTGACGCGAGTAACCCCTAACGGGCGATAGTAAACTACCCCCCATTCACCCCTTTATTTTTTGAATCCCCCGCCCACAGGGATCCCTCTGTGGGGAAGGCGCGGGGGCCGAACTTGATAATCACGTGGAAGGTTGCGGGAGTCGAAGTTGCTGTCATATCATGCTGATGAGCAACAACAGCAAAAATCGCTGAGCACGGCCATGATGGTCTCGCCACACCAGCTTCCGCAATCGCGAGCGTGTGGCAGGGTTGTGGGATTCTCACCAGTTCAGTTTGCCCACGTTACGACCGCGCGGCAGGGCCATGGGATGCGCGACAAACATGGAGTCGACGTCGGGAAGACATTTGGGTAGGGATCAGCACTCGCCGAGCACTGGCCAATCTTCCTCCTCCTGCTCCTGCTCCTCCTCCTCCTCGTGCTTCTCCTCCTCCTCCTCCCCCTCCTCCTCCTCCTCCTCCTCCCCCTCTGCCCCCGCAGCTTCCCAGGCTCAAGCTTCCCCGAGTCTCCGAGACTCCATGTTTTCGAGCCTCTTCGAGGTGCCGAGCCTCTTCGCCCCAGGGGCAGCGATAGGTGGGATAGGGATAGGCGTGCCTATGCACCGGCGACGTATCACCGATGCATCGGCAGTTTTCTTGGGGGGGGCATCGACCTGGAATCTTCGATGCATCGCCGATGCATCGGGCGCGCATCGCCGATGCATCGGCGATGTGTCTCCGATTCCAGGTTGATGTCCCCCCCCTAATGCTTATCCCTCGCATCGTTGCCCTTGACTGCGTCGCGAGCCCCAGCGATGGCCCATCCGGCCGAGCGCGCAGGTGCCGCGAGCCTGCCCGTCGAGGCGCTGAAGCACGCAACGGCGCCGAGCCCGAGCTCGAACGAGATTCTCGAGCGCATGGCCAAGCAGATCGATAACATCATCGAGAAAGTGAGCTACATCGCCGAGAAAGTCAGCGCGACCGAGATCAGGCAATGCCAATCGAGCGCGCAAGGCACGGACGCAGCTCGCATGACGAGCTGCTACTTCATGGGCGAGTCGGCCCTGCGGTCTTCGAGCGCCAGCAGGCCGTCCTGGAGATGGCGCGCCAAGGCGGGTGCCAGTAGAGCATCGAGTACACCCACATTTCCAACGAGAAGGACAAGAGGTGCATCAAGCTGGATTTGGCGGCGTTTCAAGACCTACGCCGAGAAGGGCGAGAACGTGCACGACATCTTCGAGAACCATGGAAAGCCGCTCCTCCACCTCCACGTGCTAGCGCTGCCGATCAACATGAAGTTCGGGCCCGTCGAGCACTTGCGCGAGATGCCCGCCGAGAGTGCCGAGAGGCTCTTCAACGCGATGCCGCGCAGGGCCCGAGATTACGTCAAGTGGTGCGACGAGACCTCCACGGTCTCGACGTCGAACGACGGACTCGCTCAGGCTACGCCCTTAGCCATCATCAAGAACGTCTGGAACATCAAGAAAACCGCGGACGTGAGCTACGAGCTGCACGAGCACCGCTACCAAGACAAGCGCGCCGAGCTGGACTGCTCGAAAACGGTCTAGCAGCAGAGGCACGAGGAGTTACTGCTCGAGAACCACATCAAGAGCACTCCGAGAAGAATGCGTCGATCCAGGCCGAGTGCTCAACAATCTAAACAAGCGCGATGACGACATGAACCAGGCCGACACGAAGGCCGAGTCAGAGCCCGCCTCGCCCATGCTCGCGAACGCCTGAGCGCGCGAGCTCCCCGAGCAAAGCGCCCCGTGTTTTTGCGCTACGAGGGTGCCATTTCGAGTCGCGCGCTCGAGCCCAATCTGCTTTTCAAGCTCCATGAGAGCGCTCGAGCACGCGCGAGTGGCGTTCCAAGCTGCGGGGCGCCACGCCCGCCCTCTCGCCGAGTGGTCCTCGATCAATCGTCAAGCGGGCTCGATCCTGCATGCTCGGATCGAAGATCCGAGATCTCGAGTCCGAGCATTTTCGGGCACCTTTGGTCCTAGATCCGAGGGTCGCCAAGCTTGGACTCGAAGATCTCGGGGTCGCGATCCGAGGATCGAGCCTCGGCGACCCTCGATCGTCACATTGCCGTCGAGCAGGCTCGACCCCGCATCCTCGGATCGAGATTGCGAGATCTAGAGCCCGACCGTCTTCGAGCATCTTGGGCCCTAGATCCGAGCGTCGCCAAGACCGGTCTCGAAGATCTCGGCTTCGACATCCGAGGCTCGAGAGCCGAGCCTCGGCGATGGTGCATCGCCCTCGCCGCCGTCCTCGAGCTCACGCTGCCGCCAATCAGGCTCGACCCTCCACCCTCGGATCGAGGGTCCGAGTTCTTGGTCTTGAGCATCTGCGAGCACCTCGGATCCAAGATCCGTGGGTTGGCAAGCTTGGACTCGAACATCTCGGCTGCGACGCCCGAGGCTCGAGGGCCGAGCCCGGCGCTTCTCTGGCCGTCCTCGAGCCCGCGCCGCCGCCGAGCAGGCTCGACCCTCCTCCCTCGGATCGAGGGTCCGAGATCTTGGTCTTGAGCATCTGCGAGCACCTCGGATCCTAGATCCGAGGGTCGCCAAGCTTGGACTGGAAGATCTCGGGCTCGACGTCCGAGGATCGAGGGCCGATCCTTGGCGATGGTAGATCGCCCTCGCCGCCGTCCTCGGGCCCGCGCTGCCGCCAATCAGGCTTTACCCTCCATCCTCGGATCGAGGGCCCGAGATCTTGGTCTCGAGCATCTGCGAGCACCTCGGATCCTAGATCCCAGGGTCGCCAAGCTTGGACTCGAAGATCTCTGCTTCGACGCCCGAGGCTCGAGGGCCGAGCCCGGCGCTTCTCTGGCCGCCCTCGGGCCGACGCTGCCACCGAGCAGGCTCGACCCTCTTCCCTCGGATCGAGGGCCCGAGATCTTGGCCTTGAGTATCTGCGAGCACCTCAGGTCCTAGATCCGATGGTCGCCAAGCTTGGACT